CGAGAACATTCGCCCGGCAAGCGAAAGACCCGGGTTCAATTCCCGGCTTAGCCACTCGCGCCCTGATATTTTTTCTCTCTCTTCCTTTCTTTACAATAATTCCTATACGTACATTAAAGTTTCTCGATATATGAGAACTATGTACTTTAAAATTTTCGTACACTTTAAGTATCTCGAATTGAGATCGGTGTACATTCTAACTGTCTCTTGTAGACTAATTTACTAATTTCTTTAAGAAAAATTAAAAATTTAGCACGAACATCCTGCAACGGCTCTTATCGCCATTTTCATTATTTATCGTTTGTTAAAACATTTGGAGCCTTCCATTATATGTGGTTTAAAGTTTTAAATAATTGGATTATTCTGCACAAGAACTTTAATTGTTTTTTATTTTTTAATTTCTTGAGATATTTACACAACAAAATTTTTACATAGCATCTCACAATGACGCAACGGAAAATATATACAATTATAGTTAAAAATAATCTTGTTATTTGATTATTATTTTATTATTTCTAGTAAAAAAATGGAAAATGTTTCTATTACAGCTACATGTCTCGCGGCACGATGATACTCCAGCACCGCATGAGAAGATTCAGCTTTGCATGCGAGTGCGCGGTAAGGATGAGTGGCTTCGCGTCGTAGTGGAATGCCGCAACTTCACATCCTCGTCCGATGGCTTCGTCGACTTCGTCGTGCCGCCCCCGCACAAGAATATCGTCTTGCTGAGTTTCATCGCGTCCGGTGTCGACTATCCCACAAAATACTATTCGCCAGACACGCGTTGGCGAGTACGTCAAGATACAAATCATTTTAATAAGTTTATATTGTTTTCTTTTTTTCTCTAAATTTAGTACGCGTAAAAAGGATTATTTGCGCGCACTTAAAATGTATTATTAAATTAGATTTTTATGGATCAACCGTCGGCGCATATCGACATAAATCCCTGGTACTCGCCATCGGACAACTACTTGGCGGTGGCTCGTGGTTACCAACCGATCGTCTGCGGGGAAAAATATTCGTTCAACGTTATGTACACGGTACCAGTTAAGAGCAAAACCAACGAGTCCATTTCCTTTCATTATTCAATCAATTCCAAGGGAGACTTGTTGATTTACGGCCACGTGAAGCACCGGCCGACCAGAGACACGGTTTTAAATTACTCAGAATTCCGAAACTTGTTGGGCGCCGTCGAAACAGGAAATAAGACTGATCAGGGCACCATCGTTCACAGGTAATATCTTGCGTAGCAAAGTGGATTGCAAGAAAATTTTGCCAAGCTCATTAAAAGCAAATTAAGATTATTGTATTAAAAATATGTATAGATGTTCAAAATTTACAAAAATTGTTCTCACTACGATTTCTCCTGCTTCAAGATTTCCTCTCAGCGTCAAGATCACCCCGTCTATGGCACCTGTTTCTGAATTGTTACTCTACTATGTTCGTCCGGATGGCGAGATCATCGCTACTACATACTCAATCAAGGTGGGACACTGTTTCGAAAATAAAGTAAAGACCGCCTGGCACACCGACGCTCAAACTCCAGGAACAGCTACCCAGTATCATGTGGAAGCCGCCCCTTGGTCTCTCTGCGGCATTTCTGCAGTAGATAAATCGACTCGTTTCTTAGGATCCAAAGCGAATTTAATCAACGCCGATCAGGCCTTCAAGCAAATGAAGCGATTCCATATAGAGCCAGAGCCGCGACCTACTTGGACGTGGACTCATTGTAAAGGTATTGTGATATAAAAAGTCAAATATATACAAATGTATACAACAGCATGTTTTAATTTTTGGTTTCTGTATATATAAATATATTTACAACTTTTTTAGCATCCATTAATTAATCAAATTTAACATTTAACTATCTGGGTTATCTCTTTACTTATTTCTTCGGTACAATGCTTAATTTTCTGCGCGATAAAGATCGCAATCTTACAAAATAAAAATTGAAATATTTGTCGCCCAATACTTTGCTTGAGAACAATTGTTATCACAAAATCATACATATCGGATATTTAAATTTTTTACAGCGGCGACACAGCCAGAAACGAATACAGAAGAAATCGATCACTTACCAATTCCCGCTTTCGACGAATCGTTCTTCTGGGATAGCAGTGATGACGGACAGGGATGGCGATCGGACATAATATCACGGAAAAGGAGAAGCACAATTTTTCGTGGCGATTTTGTGAATTACGTTGACGCCATACAAGCGTTCGATGTGAGAACTTTCTGGAAATGTAAACAGCTTTAAGATGATTTCGAGAATGATAATTATATGTCCATTGGATCTTCCTCTCTATTTTAGGACTTTGGAGCTATTGTGATGAGCGATTTAATACTGGAGACGCGACCTTGCCCTCGACTTACTGCCAATCGCATGGCTGTAAGGAGCAGAAGCAGGCAGTTTTCACATTTCTCAAACGTCAAGGAGATAGACGCAGCGGATGGTGCGTTTTCACATTGTAAAATTTAAATTAGAATTTAAATCACGATCTGTTAGAGGGTTTATTTTTAGATTGTAATAGAATTTACTTGAAATTAGAGAACAGATCGGCAGTTTTATAAATTTTTTTTTTAATTTTCTTTTAAATCATGTGATGTAATTATTTTGACAGGACGGTTTCAATTTGCCATGGCGAAAACGGCATTGCCTATGGCGTATCCATTATTAAATGTGGGCCCTGAGCAGGCATACGTGGACCAAGTGCCCGATCAACCTGCACCTCTCAGATCTTTCTTCCCCGAAACGTGGCTGTGGGAATTAGTGCCAACTGGGTGTGTGCACATTTAAATTCTTCAAACATATTTATTAATTTTGCTTTTACGTTGCAATTATTTTGTATTTGTTTATAAAATGCGATAATTTTAAGAATTTTTCAAAATACTCGCGCCTTCAACATTTTAACTTTAATTTTATCTATAAGATGCAAAGAAACAAGCGTTGCTTGTTTAAAATCACATTAGAACATAGCAGTAAAATAGAAACAGCAAGATTAATAGCCTTCAATTTTATATTTTATGCCGCAAATATTCATATTCACATTTCTACGAAACTTTTTTATTGTAGAAAAGAAGGCAAAGTAACTATAGAACGTACGTTGCCTCATTCGATCACTGATTGGGTCGGATATACCGCGTGTATCTCACCTACGCACGGTCTCGGGATAGCAGCACCAACTAGCATCACGGGATTCCAACCGTTCTTCCTGGATTATAGTTTACCGTACAGTGTGAAACGCGGAGAGATGTTACGCATGAAAGTTTCCTTATTTAATTACATGCAGCACAGTCTACCGGTAAGTTTAGCTTTGAGAAAACAGAATTTTTCAAATAATTAAAGTTTCAAAATTGCATTCACAGCAGTTTACCGATATATTGTGAGTACCGACTTGGTGTTTGCAGGTGAAGATCAAGCTGGAGGATGCAACAGGACTCGACTTGCATCTGTCGCATGCAGTCGCTTCGTTCTGTGTGAAACCGCGGGACAGCGTAGTGCACGAATACATTCTCAGGCCGCGAGTTCTCGGCGATATTAACATCACGGTTTCTGCCTCGATCGACTCGGATTACGCCGAACCGTGTGGTCCGGAAGTACTTCTGTATACGCGGTAAGTAGATTAATCGAATTCCTTTTATTCACAGTTATTAAATACTCAAACATTTTCTGAACGCATACATAAATGATTAAAAGTCCACAACTTTTAATATTTCATTTAAACGAGAAAAATGATTTTTATTATGGAGAAATATTTGTATATTTCATTATTTATGTAAAAAAAGTATAATTTTGATTAGTACTTTTCATTTAAATATTAAAAAACATGGATTAAGCATTTACTTAGCGATTTTTGCATTTTTTTCAGAGACGTCATTGTAAAACCCATACTCGTGCTGCCGGAAGGCTTCCCCGTAGAAACGACGAAGTCGGCGTTCATCTGTCCGAAGGACTTTAGCGACGATTCCACCATCACCTGGAATCTCGATTTACCCGACGATTTGGTGCCCGAAAGTGCGAGAGCGCATGTGTCCATGATAGGAGATATCTTGGGTCCGGCCCTCGAAAATCTAGATAATCTCGTGCGCTTGCCGATGGGTTGCGGTGAGCAAAATATGGTTCTCTTTGTCCCCAACATCCATGTGATCGGTTATTTGGACGCCACCGGGATCGAGAATCCGGAGCTGCGAGCAAAGGCAGTGAAAAATATGAAAAAAGGTAAGCGTTCAATTTTAGTTTAATTTTAATCCGCGATAAGTTTTATATCATCTGATCCTAACGTAGGATACCAGCGCGAATTAATATACAGACATCCGGATGGTTCGTACTCCGCATTCGGTGGAAACTCAGAGGAAGGTAGTTCGATTTGGCTCACTGCGTTCGTGATAAAGTCCTTCGCTCAAGCGAGGAACATAATTTACATCGATGAGCGTGATCTTAAAATTTCTGTAAAGTGGATGATGAAGAAGCAACTGGAGAACGGATGCTTCCCCGTCATAGGCAGGGTATTCCACAAGGATATGAAGGTACAATGATCTTTGTTTTAAACTTTAATTTTTTTATGTTCGAATAATGAATAGTACATAAACTCTTAAATGTGTTCTCAGGGCGGTTTGCAAGATGACGACAGTTCTTCCTCAGCGTTAACGGCGTATATACTGATCTCCCTCTTAGAATCAGACGTACCGTTAGCACCGTCGCTCATTAATAACGCTCTACATTGTCTGGAGAAAGGAATGAAAGACGACGGCGGTACAACGTATACTGCAGCTATATCTACTTACGCTTTAGCGTTGTTGGATCATCCGAAAGCGAACAACAGCATGAAATCACTTATGAATCGTGCAACACGGAATCATGTACGAATGGCAAAATTCATTATTTACTGGTTCTACTTCTATAAATCTTGAACCGATAGAATCTTCGGTGATAATCGGTTCTTATTTTTAATCAAAAATTTTATAAATTTTTATTCTTGAAAGCCTGGCATGTTTTCTCAAAGACTAATGTTGCAGTTGCAAATCTGAAGTTCACGAAATTTCGCGTATTTGTTGCAAACATTCATTTATTCGCAGGATCTCCTTTGGTGGGAAGACAAATACAAACCCTCGTTAGGGCTGAGCATCGAAATGACGGCGTACGCTGTGCTATCGCTGGTGAAATTAGGCGGCGAGACGAACATGGTCGAGGCGCTGAAAGCGGTCCGTTGGATGTCGAAGCAACGAAACGTGAAGGGTGGCTTCACGTCCACGCAGGACACCGTGCTCGGCCTGGAGGCTCTCACGAAGTACGCCGCCGTGATGTTCAGCAACACCACGGATCTCTCGGTGCTCGTAACTGCCGGCGAGGTGGATCAGGTGTACAGAATGCACAATGACAATCGCATGGTTCTCAAACAACTCCCTTTGCCCGTGATACCCACGATAGTCGAGATCTTCGCCGAGGGTGAAGGCTGTGTCTTAGTGCAGGTAGCTTTACATTTTTATTTGGAAAATAAAAAACTTGAAAACAGTTAAAATTGATAAAAACACAAAATTAATAGTGAACATTATTGAGATAAGAATTAAATTATATAACTGATAATAAACTTATCTTTTCAGAGCAATATAAAATACAATGTTGCACACGCGACCGGCTCCGAAGCGTTTGACCTTTCGGTCAACGCCGCTCCGACGTTGGCGGACGAATGCTCGACGCAAAAAATTACAATCTGCACGAGATATAAAATGGCAGATGGTGAAAGTAACATGGCATTATTAGAAATTGGCATGATAAGTGGATATGTCCCGGATCGTGCGAGTCTTCACTCGCTGCTGGAAGATCCGGCCACAAGTAAGCGTGCGATAAAGATATATTAAAATCAAAATAACTTAATATCATAAATTAGTCACTTTGAAAAAAAAATGTTGCTGAGTTAAAATTAAGAGATATCAAGGAGTACTAAAATAAAATTTGTTTCTGGCAAAATTTGCAGAAGTGAAACGCTTCGAGGAGGACCGCGGTATTGTCACCATATACTTCGACAAATTGATCAACCAAAAGACCTGTATATCGTTTACAGTAACCAGAGAAAATATTGTTGACAGACTCGAGCCAGCGAATGTAAAATTATACGATTACTACCAACAGGAGTTGACGATATCTAGCGTAAGTTTGCGAATATGCTGCTCCATAGTTATTAAATACATATAGTATTTAACAATATCTCATAACATTGAAATGTCATACTCTTTCAGAGCTACAGTTTTGCGCCGACTTGCAGCAGCGCTACCCCGGACGAAGAAATGGAGATTCCTAATCCCGTGCCGGTAGAGGAATTGGACAAGGATATCCCGAAGAGTGCGGAAAAGGATGAAACGGTGGAAAAAGCGAACGAGAGCGGTCAAAACGGCACTGTAGAGCAGATAGGTAACACAGTCCAGAATGTGTCTCAGCTAGAACCACAAATCAACCTGATCAAGAAACTCCGTGACAAAGTAACAAAGTCGGTAACCGGCATACGATCGAGAAACGAGGACGTTCCTCTGGTAGAAAATTCCAATCTCAAAATAAATACAGACGATATCGATACCGTTGCGAACGTTCGCACAGCCAACGCTAACGGCATCGCGCCCAGTAATATGGATAGTTAGTAAATATTACGTATCGCGTACATACGTACGATTCGTCTCGAGAATAAGTTCTAAAAAGAATTTATATTAAAATCTTGTTTAATTATAGATATATGAGATATAAATACGATCAATAGGTATAAGATATCAAATCAATAGCAAGTTCTTTGTATCAATCGTTCTCGTTATTTTCGAGACAAGCCTCGTATTTCTAAATATCTGTCTTGTAATCTTTCGAATTCGATCTCTCTTAGTACCGCAAACGGAAGCTGGAAGCGGGCAAACGCCAAATGAGCCGGACATCAATCTGAATCCCGTGTTCGATAGACTCGGACCACCCAGCGTAGATCTCGATGATATGGAAGCGTCTTTTAACAAACCAGGTCAAGACCTTTCTTTGAATTATGACGGAAATCCTCTCTTCGTCGTGGTTGATCACGAATTGGCGACTCCCGACGGTATCGAAGGACCTGTGCCGGTTTCCGTGAAACCTGATTTTAGCGATCCATTGCTGGATGAGACTAACCAAACCGATCAGAAGATGGGAACAGACTTGAACAATGCGCAATCTGAAACGTTGAGTACGTAAAATCAAATTGTAATTATTAGGTAAAATTTTTCTTTTCCTTCACAAACATTTCGTGTACATTGCTGTATAGCTCGTTCTCCTCTTAATTTATTTTATATCATTTTAAAATGTTGGAAGCTTTAGAACAGAAACTTTTACTATTTGTAAAAATCGATCTTCTTTCTTGATGATTAAGCCGAGTAATTTTTTGGTTTCAGCGCCTCCTGATTCAATCGAGTCGTGTCCCGTATGCGCCGACGAATTACCATTGGACATTAACGATGTTTATTGTTCTGCCAGTAGTGTCATAAAAGCGGCAATCAGACGGTTACGAAAGGCAAGACTTCTGTTAGATATACGGCCATCGCACGAAGTTAAACGTCTCCGTTCGACGATCGCCTTTGTCTTAAGCCCCAATTGCTCTTGCCCGCCTTTAGATAACCGTGAGTACAATTAAGAACAATTACAGTATTGTTCTCTTATCACATATTATTATTAATAATGCGTATTATATTTACAGCTGGAAGTCTAGCATTGCTGATGCACTCCGGCGACAGCGAGTTCGCTAAACGCTCGCACAGTCGACACATCTTAGACGAGCAAGTTTCTATATACGGATTACCGCCGGTTGGCGGTGTTCCGCAAGAGATAACGGACGCACGAGCAATGTGCGCGAACCGTGATGATAACGCATCTCTTAATGTTCCTACGCCTCCTTAATCAAGCCAGCAGGCTGCTCCTCGGCGTTTCGACAATCCACTGAATACGCAAAAAGAACGAAATATATCGTGTGATACTAATGACGATTACTCATACAGGCGTATGGAAATTTATACGCGTGCAAACTTGAATTAGAATCATACAGTATAACTGAGTTGGCCAAGAAATTTTTTTATTATAACTTGATGTATCGTTTTTCTCGAGACACCTTGTATATAATTTGACGGTAGATTTCACACAGGGTATTTTCCAGGTCGATATCCAATATACTCTGAATTTTCATTGCAATTCTCCCCCCCGCCTCGAAGCTCCGTATACAAATCTCTACATCGCACACCCCGCGTTATTGAAATGTGGGATGTGCGGTGAGTAAATGGAGTGTGTCTCACAAAGTTATCTAATAGTCATTTTTATATTGAAAGTTATATCCAAGATAATCCACTTAAGTTATAATGCGTTATCGTAATTCGTGAATAGCGAATAATGAACGCGTTAACTGAACTGTAAATAAAGCACAATGATTTATGACATAATAATTACCTAATTTAATACATCCATAAAATATTATCATATGTTTCTATCGTTAATTTCGCATTATCTTAAAATGGGTACGTAGCTACGCTAGTTTTCGAGCAACCAAGTTTTACATATAATTTCTTTCCACATTTTAAATGTAGTCGTTTAAAAGAATTCTTTCTAAATGGAGTATTCGACGAAGTTCAGCTAGAATCATTTCGCGAAAATGATGGGAAGAAAGGAAGAACGAGATATGAATACACCTTGAATCTCAGACAAATGTGTTATATCTTTATTTGTTGTCCACGTTTGATCGCATTGTAATAGTTATTACAAATTAACAATCACCTCAATCGAGTTCTCGCTACATTAAATAGTATTTCATTACAGTGTATGTACGATTATTTATTTAATACGATTTTAATCCGTGATTATATTGTCCATTTGACATTTAACGCTGATAAGATCGGATTTGCCACTAGTGAAGATATTTTTAATTGAATCTATTTCTCTGTCCGTTATCATATATTATCCTTAATTCTCGCTTTCGAAAGTACAATTAAATATCAAATGGATAAATTCTCTGGAAGTAATATTATTTATTCACGCTGTATACACAGTTAAAAATGCTTGAAATAAATAAACATATATATACTATTGCTCACTATACACTATTCATCGCGCCGATTTGCTACAATACCATTAAAAACTTAATTACGTGAGGAATGAAAGGATGAATGTAATTGGCAGTAATAATCGATATTCGTCGTCATCTCGCGCTAGATGATTAGACGTATGCTTCCGACTGCGTGCCCAAATAAGAGTTAGGCAGTGTACATTGGCGGTGAAGATGCGTTGGCAACAATACAACGACGAGTAAAACGTAAAGAATGCGTATAAAGATATATGTATATATTTAAAAAAAAAAAAAAAAAGAAGAATACTCTAACAATGCGAGACGTTTAAATACTCGAGAACGTTTCAGTGCATTCGCCTGACCGAGGGACATTTTTCTCGTAAATTCGCCAAGTAACATAGCAGTGAATGTAGCAGCTTGCAAGCGATGGCGACCGTGAAATATATTATCATCTTCGCGAAGGCGCGCGACACATACGCTTATTAACATTTACCGACATTGAAAGAGATGTCGCATAGTATATGTGCTATTAGTATATGTACCACACCGATTCGTAATCGGGGATACGAATCTCGAACGGCGAAAAATACACTACTGGAAAAACGACCATCTCGTCAAGTTAAACGCGCGCAACGTGGAATCGTAAAGCGTAGAAACTAGCAAAATAGACTCGCGCTTCTCTCTCTCTTTCTCTCTCTCTCTCTCTCTCTCTCTCTCTCTCTCTCTCTCTCTCTCTCTCTCTCTCTCTCTCTCTCTTTTCTCTCTTTCTCTCCTATCGTATAAAAATGAAAAGCAAAAACAAACACACGTAAGAGATATTTGTAACGGATATGTGTCTTGAGTTACACAAGCTCGATATTAAATTATGTATGACTTTTGCGGAAAAATCGCATCAGATCCATCGTGTATATTCGATTACGGACTAAGGCAATGGCGATAATAGAGCAATAAGAGAATCGTTCAAGCTGTGTCAAGCTGTGTTTAAGCAGAAAAAATAGAGAACTATAAGACACAAGTTGTACTGAAGTATTGTCGTTGTATCGATATGGATCTTACGAGACAATTCCCTAATCAAATCAGTTTTCTTTCGTAAATATTAATACAATATAAAAATCTTCCTATGCTGCATTTTTTTTCGAGAATACTATCGCTACAATATAATCTTATATATAACGCCGTAAACCTACATAAAACTACTCCCAATCAATTCTTACTCAATGCGGCGCAAATGTTTCGATACATGTGTGTTATTATACAATAAATCATATATCGATTTAATATGGAGCCTGCGTGTAACAGGAGGATCTCAGCGGATTAACAGCGGCGCAATAAACGTAACGGCTGATAAATTCGCGCGTATAACACGAAACCCACTTGCGCATAATTGTAGAAACTTTACCGGTAATATCGAGACGAGGAATCGGAAGATATTTTTTTTTCTTAATTCAACGGGTTTTTTATCGCGTCTCACACGATCGAGAAAAAAGGACAACGTTGCACGTAGAATTCGTGGAGCAACGCGGATTTATTGTGGACTTACGCGAAGATCGCTGCTGGACTACTCAGTAGATTTTGGGCGCCGAACGATCGTTGATTGGACCGCTCGTCTTCTTCAGCGATGTGCCCCGCCTGATCTGATCCATGAGGGAGTCTCGCACTTGTACGGGATCCATAATGGGCACGCGATTGCCCATGATGCGTCTGACGCTCGCTGATCTGCTCGTGCCCGCCTGCTGTAAAGCCTGCTGCTGCTGCGCCAGTTTGGCGTTCAGCGTCTCGAGGAAGCCCGGAGCTGCTGTTTTCACGTTCTTAGACTGCTGTTGTTGCTGCTGCTGCTGCTGCTGCTGAAGCTGCTGCTCCGAGATTGATTGCTTCCTGAGAGATTTTGGACTGCCGCTCGCGTTCGCGCCCGCCGCGGTGCTGCTGCCTATCGTGCCGATGAGTTTGGCGTTGAGCACTGCCATGAAGCCCTGGCCCACGCCACCCGGTCCCTGTCCTTGGACCGCAGTTTGACCGACAGCCTGGCCGCTGGTACTTCCACCGGCTGCACTGACCGTTTGTGCGTCGACGGTTCCGCGTTCTTGGGACGCCGAACGGATGGCCGAACAGGAACGTTCCACCGACGCACGAGTTATTTGCAATACGGCGTTATGCTGGATGATGCTCGAGGGATTATTGTGCGCCTGCTGTTGTCCGGTGGCCTTTCGCAAGAGCGATGGACTGGCTGGAGTATGACGGAGTTCAGTCAGAGTCCTCACTGTCTCGGAAACCGAGATGGATCTAAGAAGAAAAAGAGCGTTAAGTATAACTAGAATCTTACAGGATTATAATTAGACTTTTAAAAATCTAAAAATTTTCTTCCAAAATTATAATTTTTTCCAGATGAACTTAACAAAATGAAAACATTCAATACAAATTTTCATGATCAAACTCTTCAATTCAGATGAAAGCAATTCACTTAGAAACCGAACAATGTCGACTCCCACCTTTGAGACTTAGGACTGGCTGTAGGCGAGGAACCTTCCAGAAGGAACGGAGGCGGCGGAGGAAGGTTCTCCGTTTCGTCGCAAACGTTTTCGCCTTCGGTCACGGACGTGGGGGGTGCGATGATGATGGTGGACGTGCGTCTCGTCGGCGGCGGAGGTCTGATCGTCTGCGTCGATCCTCTGCGTGACATTAACGTGGCCGCGGCACCAGGTACATTCCAAGTGTTCTCGTTTTGATTGTGAAGCGAGTGAGAATGCGGTAAGGTGTTCTGGCTTCCGTATCCGCTGCTAGACTCCAAGCTGGACTCAGACGTCTGACTGCCGGCGTCTTTTTCCGGAACTTCAGTCTGCACGAATTTCAGATCGTATGAGTAAGCGTGAAGCATATCTTTTAGCATTAGTAAAAAAACACAAAAGTAAAAAAACCAAAAGCTTATACTTCATCGCTTCTGCTTGGATACCTTGTCGGTTCCCGGTGCCGCCAACGACGCAGGAGGGGGCGGCAGAGGTAACTGCATTTCTTGAGCACGGCTGGCGGCCAGATTCGCCAGCTCGTGCATATTTACGTACATCGGCTGCTGGAGCTGATGAGTCGCCAGCTCTGCATCATGTCATTACGTCGATAGATCTCACATCGTATGTGATTAGGTACACGTATATAACTATTCCACGAACCTTTCGCCAAGTGAGCTGGAAGAGGTAACTTGGGCTTGCTCCGCGGGCTCCCGGGCGGCTCGTTCTTCACCGGGATCGTCGGTCGTTCCAGGCTGGAACATCTGTTCGGTATAGGCGGACGATTGCCGCCGTTATTCCTACGGAGTTGTACCCTAGACAGCTGGTTCGAGGAAGAACATGACGAGGAAGAGGAGACCGGTGAGGCGGGCTGGCTGTGACAGCAACTACTGCCATCGCGTTCCGGAGCTTGGAATGTGTAAACGCTGAGCGCCGGTCTCTGGTGTCCCTTTTCGTACGCTGTAACAATAAAAAAAAAACAAACTGAATGACTGAGCAAATCGAAGCACAGAAGTGCTCTTTCATAAAAAATTAAAATAATTGCTTACCGGAGGAAATAGTATGCGGCCGTTCGTTCACCGCGCCTGGATTTTGCCGATCGTACTGAACGGACGTTTCCTGCAAATCAGGCCAAGTTGAGGTTGTCACGGCTCTCGTTACAGTGCAACCGGTACTTTGATTACTTAGAGAAGACACATTTGATACCTAGAAATACAAGCCGTCTCTTTATTTGACTATTAAGTAGTACAACACGACACACACGAGTCAAAGTTAAGCTAAAAAATCTGTCTAAAACTGGCATGAGGAATACACATAAGCCGAATCTAAACGATAAACTAATCACTAGACAGCGGAAGTTTGCAAAGTTTCAGATTGAGTCTTCGAGATTCTGCCAGTATTCTGCGACGGTGAGTGTGTACTTCTTAGAGTTAACGAATTAACAATAAATTAAAAATTATTCTAAAACTAAATTTTCAGATCTTTCAAAGAACTCGTTAAAGAAACTAATTCTCACCTCGTTTCCTCCGCCCTGGGAAGACTTAGCGTAAAACAACACGAACTTTCACGAATTTCTCTACCGATCAATAAACTGATCTTACCTGATGTTCGGAAATCGGTTGATTGTACAATGTGTCCTGAGATGTAAAGCCGGAGTCACGGGAACTGCCACTCGTCAAGTGGCGTAGCGTCGCGATGCCGCTGATGCTGGCGGGTCTGACACCGATTGGCTACAAGGAGTACAACATCGACTACACATACAATAAGCTGTCGCTCGGCGGGCAAATAGATTTATCCGTGCTGTAAAATCTATGCGCGCGTCTACCAAGGTGTATTACGGCTAATGCACTAAAGGTGTTACCACATCAATCATGCAATGTGCATGAAACCAACGAGGTACAAGAAAAAAAAAAAAAAAAAAAAAACACTTAATGGATCAATTCATAAGAACAACGGTGTGGAGAGAAAAAAAAGAGAAAGAGGGAGAGAAAAAGAAATGAGAGAAACCGACGCGTAATTACCTGAGAAAGCGATCGGTGCCACGGATGTCCGGACGGGCTCGGATGGCTTTTACAAGATCCACTACTGCTACTAGTTAGAGAACTGATCGAACACATAGAACTCTTCCTCGATCCGAGAGACAATGATGGACTCGACGGCGGCGTAGCCAACGACCATTGAGTAACGTCGCAACCTTTTATGTCCGTTATTACCTGCTCGGATGCAGGCGGTAAATGATGGGGCGACGCGGCGTGTCTTTGCAATTGATCGGAGACCTCTTGCAGATGCGTCAATTCCATTAACATCGCTATCTCCTCATCCTAAATTGTTAATCACGCATATATGTATATGTACACAATTCTACATCAATTTATGAATGTATACGTGTAAATCTGTGGAGTTTACTAACGAGAACGGGTTTTAGGAATCGGGCGAGCAGACAGAATCTGCCTCTCTCCTCGAGGAGGGCTGCGCGGACGGCTTTCCGTTCCGTTTCCTCTAAACTCAGTCTTTTCTCCTGAACGACCGCTGCTGATGACTCCAGCATCCTATTGAGCTCGACATCGCTGGAACAACTATGACTTTGAGGCTGTCCTTGAACGTGTAAATGAACTTGACCCTTTCGCGCTTTCTTCTTTTGCAGACGCAAAGTATCAGTGGAACGTTTCTTTAATTCTGTCCTTGCCTTTTTGAATTCTGAAAATAATAAAAAATTGAATTATAGAAAGATGACATGTTGAAAATGTGGCTTGCTAGAATATTGTAATGATTGTTAACCTTTGGCATGTTCTTTGTCTAAATTGATCAAAGACTTTTTCCAATCTTCCAATTTCTCTTGTAAAGGCAGTACCAAACAATCCATAATAGCGCTTAAAAGAAACAACACATATGAGTGCAAAGAATGTTGAGCAGTTGAAAGAAATATATCTAGAATCTCAATAAATTATTATTATTATATAGAATATTATATAGATTATATAGAAAATATTTCAACATACCTAGTAAATGACTTCATACGAGTTTCTACTGCTTTATGTCTCAAACATATTCGTGTCAATGCTGTACCGATTTCCTTTGTTGCACCTTAATAGCAGAAAATATTTTTAGTTTAATTTATTTTATTTAAGTATATCAATTCATTATTTAATTAAGTATTTAATTCAGATCTTTGACAATCCCAATATATAAGTTTAAAAAATAAGTTTTATTATAATTTATTAATGCAATTGAGATTTACCTCTGGCACTGGTTGCAGCATCCGCTATTTTCTGAAAAGCCTCAAGATATGCAGAAATAGCCAAGATAGCAGCTCTGTAATAATATGTATCAAATATTAAAACTAAAGAGCATTAAAAGGTGATAAATCACATAATGTATACTGGTATTTTATCAATACAAAGTAGAATTTCTATTAATGTTGAAAACAACATCATTTTCTGTATATTAAAATATATTTTAAAAAATTATAAGCAAGCACAAGGAAATATTCTATATATTTCAAATTATATAAATCTTCACCTCAGACTTGCATGTAACTTTGTAGCTTTTGAAATCAAATCTTCCCAAAGTGGTGCTCCGTTCTATAAAAAAAGGAAATAAAAAATATCATAATATATTCAAAGATTCCATTAACATTGACACAGTTCCTGCATATCACAGTTTGCACAATATCAATCAAATAGGAATAGTCTAGATTGCTATATTAGTGATAGATAACATAATCATACACGCCCATATATTTGTTTACACACACAATCAAATAACTAGTTCATAAACTAGAATGTATTTCTCAATGTGTGACAAATATACAAATCAAATAAAGCAAATATTTTTGCTTATATTTATTTATTATAACAAATATTTCGAAAAACATAAATAATATTAAAACATTTGACACTTAAAGCATTTGCTTTCGCGTGTAGAAGCTGTAAAAAATGTTAACAAGTGTCAATTGCAGATTATTAATGTTTGTTTCTGAGGTAAGCAATAATAATCACGAGCAAATGCCTCAAAATATAAAGAGCATGTTGTGTAATAAGAGATTATTAGAAAAAACGACATGTTTTTCAAAACATGAAGCATGTGGAATAATAAATGTAGAATGCTGCGAACACTTGGTCGAGTCTAATAAACGATCATTTCTCACCTTCATGTCAGTGACGATCTGCTGAAATAAACCGCCCAACGCGCTGCACTCTCTTTCTATCGTCGCATCCATCTTTTTGTTTGGACTGGCCTAAATTCGTCAATGGGCACTCCGTGCGAGCACGGCAATTGCGACGACGAGTTCACTTCGCGTCGTCAACGTTTACGAAAACGATGCACTGCCGCCAGCGAGGACGAACAGTGTGGCTCGTCATTCTCGATCGCGCGACAGCGTGAAGGAGAGAATGAGAGGCGGCGACACGAGAAAACGGCGAGGATGGCGGGCGCGGACGCGTCCACGCGAAACGACGAGAGGCGTCGTGACTCAATAGACTTTACCGACAATGACACGAAACGGATCTCCGCATTTGCATTCGCTGATGACACTGCAAAAAGAAAATAGAAAAACACGCGTCCCGTTGCACGTTACGTTATGTATGCACGCACGTAAACACAACAGCGACAGACGACGTGCGCGCGGATCGCCGATCGTCAGACCGAGATTGCCAGCTCGCGTTCGCGTGCGAATCTGTTTTCCTCAGTGCAGGCGCTGCTGGATCGTTGCCCCCTACGTGGTGACCCCGTTCCAGAAATCGGGATCGATGTATTCGGTATGCGCCTAATCGTTATCCCGCAGGGAAAAGTGAGAGGGAGAGGGAGAAGGAGGAAGAGAGAGGAGTTTGAAGAAACATCTTCCGGACTGCATAGAGAGGTGCATGTCGTGCGGTTGGTGAACACCGCTTTTGTCTATCACCGCTCTGATTGGCGCGTAATAGCATAACCATTCTTGTTCTGTCTCTTTCTTTCTTTCTCTCTCTCTCTCTGACAATTGTAACAAGAACCGATTGGAGTGTTTACATTACGTTGAACGTGTAATGCAATGTCCAATAAAAAGACTTTTTTTCTAGGGATAAAAAATCGTTAGGAATGCGACAGCATGCAATGCATCGCTGCAGTGCAAATCCTCCGAAAGGATTCAAATTGCATTTGATAACTAATTAGAACAAAATTAGAAGAAGTAAATTATGTATATGTAATTTATGTGAATTATATATAAATTATTTCCCTTTAAAAATGCTTCGAAGATTGTTTAGGTTTGTAATTTTACTGTAATATATAATAATTACAGATATTGCATTACTGATAATGTAGTAAAAAGTGTAAAAAAGCTTTTACTTGGCAAAGATTTATGCAACTTTTACATAGCAAAAGTTTGTTTAGTGAATACACGAATTTTTTTAATAAAAATTCGAGCTGTAGTTATTACAGATTCATTTAGCGGAGAAAGTGAAACAAACCACGAATGTAGTGCATCTAAAAGTAACAGACTTATAGGCGATCAGCTGCAGGTTACGAACGGTCAAACACGGTCAAATCTGATCCTAGATCATTCTCAAGCATGAATACGCTGCGACGAATTCAGCAAATATGCAGACACTTCAATAAAAGTGCCATCATCTCTCTGCAACGATGTGACACGATTCCATTTTTCAGAACATACGCATCGACAGTGCGAGCGAGACAACCGGTGGAGAACAATTGCGACGATCGGCCAGGCAACAAGAAGCCGGTGATCAACGAGACGACGATTAAGAGAATCGAGAAGCTGGCGCTGGTTGGTTTCGAGTACGAGCAAAGTAAACGAGTGCTAGAGGAAGCAATAGCGTTTGCAGAACGGCTGCGGACGGCACACATCGACGAGTCAGTACGTCCGATGTACAGCACCCTGGAGAACGATCACATTCGTCTGCGGGACGACGTGGTGCACCACGACGTCGATCGACGAGAGATACTGAAAAACGCAGCAGTATTAGAAGAGGAGTACTTTGTGGCACCTTTAACAACAGATAAATCCGATTCCAAACAATGAGTTTGGAAGCTATACTGAAGACAATTAGTCCGTACTTTCTCAATCTTTCTGAGCGGGGCTTCGCATACGGTCCTCAGGGTAAACTGCTGCTGAGGAATCTCGAGGAACACTGGTTTGCTCACTGCATCACGATGCCACGTTATAACGTATTCCTCTGTGACACAATTGCAGACACATTGCAGATGCTGCGGAGCAATTCGATGGACGATGTGCTGCCGTTCGCTCTCGCTACCTTGGCAACTTCAAAGAATGCGTGGAACGAATCTCTGTTGTCGGCTAAAGTGTCATCTCATAAAACTGTCAAAATCAATGTGATCGTTGAGGCGTCCGAATCGAAGAATCTGTTACACAAGACACAAAGAGAGCGCAAAGTATGGTGGCGCAAACTTGCACAGAGTCCCTCGAGGTTCACGCTTGCAGAGACTAAGAAGGCGAAGAATCTTGACGTGACGGAAATCGAAGCGCAGTTTCCCTTTGGAAATATCACTGTGGAGACAATCACTCATTATCCTGGCGTACGCAAGTTGTATCCTCAGGTATAAAGCGCAATAGTTTCTTAATAAAATAAGATATTGAGGAGAATGTGAAAAAGAGAAAAAAAAGATAAATTATTTAAATGATATTTATTTACAGACTGAAAGTAATAAAGATATTGCTGCGGATCTGCATATGGTCGAACATGTCGCTTCCCTGGATTGGGGCTGTCTGGCGCTGCTCTGCGATAGTCACATATTGGACAAGTCAACTAGAGCTTATATTCATCCTAAGTTATCTCCGTACAAAACAACGTTCCACATAATGAGACATAAGAATGAAACGGATCTGGATACAGAAGACTTGAATCGCTTTGTGCTATACTTAAATAATATGCTTAGAACAAAAGGGGTTTCTACGATATTAACAAATACAGAACAAATTATAGAAATGTGCTTGATACCATTCGTCGTGTCGGTGGATAGGACTAGTCTTAAGAATGGCATTGTACATGTAAAAAATCGTTCAACGACTCTTAAAGAGGCGGTTCACATTACTAATTTAGTAAAGTATATTACTTTACGTTCTTCCTGAATCGCCGAATCGGCACAATGCAGTTCTAAAATTTCCGACCAACATATATAAGATATTGTTATAATTATATTTAATTTACTATGTTTATTACTGAAAGTTACAATATAAACTGTAAGTATAAATGAAAGTCTCTGATTCATTTTTTTACTCCGATTTTTGTTTGTTAAATATCTAAATTCATATGATATCTTGATTTTATAATAATGTACATTTGTTGAACTAAAGTACGAAAGAATAACGAGGGGAACTTAGATTTCTAGAAAACGCAGCATAGGATTGCACAAGAGGTGATGCATGATGGAAGGAAGGAAGTGTTTAAAAATAGGAAAAATGCTGCGAAACACTCTGTACTTAGCAGAAACGTATGCTGCACGTTTCTCGAGCCTCCCAAGATTGCCCGAATTTATCTTGAATCGACAATTATTATCGAAAACAGGCAGTCAAATGCTTCTTCAATACAAGAGGATAATACTCTTAACCAAAGCTAAGCGGGTAGTTGTAGCTTCTTGCCTTTCAGTACTTTGGTAATATAGAGGTAGAAAAAGTCACAGTAAAGAACTGTCTGTACCAATCCGGCGACAATAGCGATTAAGTCATAATGATCCTCAGCATAATAACGGTAGACCCAGTTAAATAAATACAGTCCTCTATAAGATCCCAATGCAAATAGATAATGACTGGTGATGCTTTCTGCCTCGCCTGTCTTTGATACCAAGAACAATTGTGGTAATATTGCCACTGATTCTAGATAAATGCTGAACGTCCATAGGACCTCTATGAAAGCCAGTTCATGATTGATCAACAGCGCCAGTACGAATGCAGGTAAAATCAGGAATTCAATCCTGTAATAAATGTACCAATCTGTCATCAATCCATTCATGTGCGAAAGTAGTTGGGCAATAATCAAAAACTCACCTGAACGTATCATGATTATGATCGTAAGTAGCTTTGAATTTGACGTACATCAAGAAGACCGTGGCGAAGGATGCGGCAATAAAAATGATCTTCATAAAAGTGTTATACGCCGAGATAAACGTCGTGAAGAGATCTAAGTAACGAGTGGTGTAAACAATGGCAAATAGTATTTGTGACTTGCCGCTGATACCTGCAAACAGTTGAAGCGTCGATAATCGTCGCCGATTAAGCAGCATGACGCGGTAATTTGATTGTAACACATTGTTTGACCGTAATTAAACGGTGAATACGACGGTCCCGTAAAAGTGACACGGGAACGACAGGAAGCCACTCACCGGCGCAGCTCCGCGTCTTCCATATCTTGATAAGAAGTACAATAATAGCTAGGAGATGCGATAGATCACCCAGCAGCCGAAATATATTCATGTTTGCGTTTGTGGAAATGTAATTTTATGTAAAAACGCGGAAGCCAGCTCGCACAGCTCGCTCCACAGCGGCACACAAATATGACGTGGCTCTGGCTGCGATTAAAGCAGATGGCCGACCCGCCGACCTCCCCTGATTTCGATCACTGTATACTAGATGCAGTGTGATGACGATGCTAGGGGAGAATACATTTTTTATATTGGACAATCTGTTGATTCTTTTTCAGAAATAATGTATGACATCTGACAATTATTTAGTTTAGGGCGAGTAATGGTGGAAGATAAACGTTACAATAGCGAAAAACGTTTGAGGAGTCACGACGCAGAAGGCGTCCGGAGGTGTTGCGATAAGTTCTAGGAAAATGGCTACGTCTGACTCCAAAGCGCCTTTGCGGACGGTGAAACGCGTCCAATTCGGCATTCTTTCGCCGGATGAAATAGTAAGTAAACTGCTCGTATTTCGTAGCATCGGTTAAAATATTATTTTCATAAAATAACGAGTTTTTCTCGGCAATCGAAAAATTTCCTAATACAATCTTATGCAATTCGAATGCGAATATGTTATTCTCGCGGAAATTTTGTGAGATTAAGTATAATTTTCTCGGCAATTCTATCAAAACTCGTTCTAATGTGTGAATATCGTTATATTACTTACTGAAATTGTGTCCAGTGTTTTACTTTTCGAGGTCAATGAGGATATGAATTGTTCTACTAATTTCTCTACGTTTTTTATCAAGTATTTTTACGTAAATCTATTAAAGTAAAGTAAAAAATATTAAAGACTATGGTATATGAAGTGTAACAATTTAAATGTATATTACATTTCTTCGATAAATTATTTATTTATCTAATCCTAACCTTGCAGCTTAGGATGGCTTCTGTGTGGTTACAATATAATTACACTACACCATTCTTACTCTAATCTATAAAACAGAATTATAAATCCTAACCAAAACTAATAAAAATTACCAAAAAGCAAAGAGCTGAGAAAACAATTTTGATAACTTTAACTTTTCTATTTAGAAACTTTTTAACTAATTTTCAACTTTATATACCTTATAAACTGTATAACTTTGTATCTTTTATGACATTATAAATGGTGATTCTAAGTATTCCAAGTATTCCAAGTTTAGATATAAATTTTGGTATTTATTCAAATGAAATTAAGTCAAGATCACAACCAAATTTGAAGTTAAATTCTATAATTTATATATTTTTGATTATATCATACTTCTAATTTTAGTCATTCTAAAGCTTCTATTTACTTTTTTGATTTATTTTTTTAGTTTATCTTTGGTATATATTATTGTATTTTTAATTTTTACTTTCTTTGTTTTATTCTATTTCTATCAATTCTACTTTTACTAATCTTCTATCAATTCTATTTCTACTAATCCTTTATCAATTCTATTTCTATTAATCTTGTCATTTTACTCATTTTTAATTCTGTAGTCTTTCTTTTTTTTGCTTTTCTCTTTTCTGTACTATCTTGTTCATTACCTCTAAACTTTTCTCTACCTTACTTCTACCTTGATAAATTATATATATAAAAGTTAAATCTTGGTCAGCAATACTTAAATGTTATTTACATATGGCTAAAAAGCATTCAAATATCATGTTGTATATTTAAGTTGAATACGTTCTATATAGTATTGTAAAACGTTATTAAAAAATCATGTTTTTGTGTTATACAGCGTCGTATGTCAGTCACAGATGGCGGCATACGATTTCCAGAAACCATGGAAGGTGGCCGCCCTAAATTGGGCGGTCTCATGGATCCAAGACAAGGTGTTATTGACAGAAATTCCAGATGTCAAACATGCGCTGGTAATATGACAGAATGCCCTGGCCATTTTGGTCATATAGATCTTGCAAAGCCAGTATTTCATGTTGGATTCATTACAAAGACCATCAAGATATTGAGATGTGAGTGTTTCTACTGCTCTAAACTGCTTGTTGGCCCTGTAAGTAACTAGTATAAAATGTTTTTAAAAAATTATTTTATTTTTATGAAAACCAGAAATTTCTTATTTTGAAATTATTGAACTGCTCATTCACATTCTACATCTTTAAAAATTTATGATTTACATTATGTGTTACTGAATTTTACATAAATTGTATGTCTTAATCTTCTTTTATTATTCAGAAAAAATTGATAATTAGATTATCTTATCTAAACATTACATCTTTAAAATATTGATAATAAGTAATTATCTTTTTTGTGATTTGCAGCATAATCCAAAAATTAAAGAAATTGTCATGAAGACAAAGGGACAGCCGCGGAAGCGACTTGCATTTGTTTATGATCTATGTAAAAGCAAGAACATTTGCGAAGGTGGAGATGAAATGGATATTAACAAAGAGAATGCGGAAAGTCAGCCACAGATGGAAAGGAAACCTGGCCACGGAGGTTGTGGTAGATATCAACCTAATCTCAGACGATCTGGGTTGGACGTCACTGCAGAATGGAAGCATGTGAATGAAGATACACAGGAGAAGAAGATAAATCTTTCAGCCGAGAGAGCGTGGGAAATTCTCAAACACATCAAGGACGAGGAATCCTTCATCCTGGGCATGGATCCGAAATTTGCCCGACCAGATTGGATGATAGTTACTGTACTTCCCGTACCACCGTTGTCTGTCAGACCCGCAGTAATCATGTACGGCTCTGCCAAGAATCAGGATGACTTGACTCACAAACTAGCGGATATCATCAAGTCGAACAACGAATTGCTGCGAAACGAGCAGTCCGGTGCGGCAGCACACGTGATCTTGGAGAACATAAAGATGCTGCAGTTTCACGTAGCGACGCTCGTCGACAACGACATGCCGGGTATGCCACGGGCGATGCAAAAGTCGGGGAAACCACTCAAGGCGATCAAGGCCCGGCTGAAGGGAAAGGAGGGGAGAATTCGAGGAAACCTGATGGGGAAACGTGTGGACTTCTCTGCGCGCACCGTCATCACACCAGATCCCAATTTGCGCATCGACCAAGTAGGCGTGCCGCGCAGTATAGCGCAGAACTTGACATTCCCCGAAATTGTGACGCCTTTCAACATTGACAAAATGCAGATATTAGTCAGGCGGGGCAATTCGCAGTATCCCGGCGCGAAGTACATCGTACGCGACAACGGTGAGAGGATTGATCTGCGCTTCCACCCCAAGACATCGGATCTGCACTTGCAGTGCGGCTACAGAGTGGAACGGCACATCCGCGACGGCGATCTCGTGATCTTCAACCGTCAGCCGACGCTGCACAAAATGAGTATGATGGGTCACCGCGTGAAGGTGTTACCCTGGAGCACATTCCGTATGAATCTGAGCTGCACGTCGCCTTATAATGCCGACTTTGACGGCGACGAAATGAATCTACACGTGCCACAATCGATGGAGACTCGCGCGGAGGTCGAAAACATTCACGTGACACCGCGCCAGATCATAACCCCGCAAGCGAACAAACCGGTCATGGGTATCGTGCAGGATACTTTAACAGCCGTGAGGAAGATGACGAAACGCGACGTTTTCATCGAGAAGGAGCAGATGATGAATCTGCTCATGTTTCTGCCCAGCTGGGACGGCAAGATGCCGCAGCCGTGCATCCTGAAGCCGAAACCACTGTGGACCGGCAAGCAATTGTTCTCTCTTATCATTCCGGGGAATGTGAACATGATACGGACGCACAGCACTCATCCAGACGAGGAGGACGACGGCCCGTACAAATGGATCTCGCCGGGCGACACCAAAGTAATGGTCGAGCACGGAGAGCTCGTGATGGGTATTCTCTGCAAGAAGACCCTGGGTACGTCCGCCGGATCGTTGCTTCACATCTGTATGCTGGAGCTGGGCCACGAGGTATGCGGACGCTTCTACGGCAACATTCAAACTGTCATCAACAACTGGTTGCTGCTGGAGGGTCACTCAATCGGTATCGGCGACACTATTGCCGATCCACAGACATACTTGGAAATCCAGAAGGCGATCAAGAAGGCCAAGGAGGACGTGATAGAGGTGATCCAGAAGGCGCACAATATGGAGCTGGAGCCTACTCCCGGTAACACGCTGCGTCAGACTTTCGAGAATCAAGTGAACAGAATCCTAAACGACGCTCGAGACAAAACCGGTGGTTCCGCCAAGAAATCTCTTACTGAATACAACAACTTGAAGGCTATGGTGGTGTCGGGCTCGAAAGGCTCCAACATTAATATCTCACAGGTTATCGCTTGCGTGGGTCAACAAAACGTTGAAGGTAAACGAATACCCTTCGGTTTCCGCAAGAGGACCCTGCCGCATTTCATAAAAGACGACTACGGACCCGAGTCTCGCGGTTTCGTCGAAAACTCGTACCTCGCCGGTCTCACGCCGTCGGAGTTTTACTTTCACGCTATGGGCGGTCGTGAGGGTCTTATCGATACCGCCGTAAAGACGGCCGAGACCGGTTACATCCAGCGTCGTCTGATAAAGGCTATGGAGTCGGTGATGGTGCACTACGACGGCACCGTGCGTAACTCCGTCGGCCAGTTGATCCAGCTGCGCTACGGCGAGGACGGCCTCTGCGGTGAGACCGTGGAGTTTCAGAATCTGCCCACCATCAAGGTGAGCAACAAGGCCTTCGAGAAGAAATTTAAGTTCGATCCAACCAACGAACGATACCTGCGACGCATATTCAACGAGGATATCGTCCGGGAGATGATGGGTTCCGGCGAGGTGATCTCCGAGCTGGAGAGAGAGTGGGAACAGTTGAACAAGGATCGCGCCGTGCTCCGAGAGATCTTCCCGAGCGGTGAGTCCAAGGTCGTGCTACCGTGCAATTTGCAGAGGATGATTTGGAACGTACAGAAGATTTTCCACATCAACAAACGAGCGCCGACTGATCTTAGTCCCATGAGGGTGATCCAGGGCGTGAAGGACCTTCTGGATAAATGCATCATCGTCGCCGGAGATGACAGACTGAGCAAACAGGCGAACGAGAACGCAACTTTACTATTCCAGTGCTTGGTTCGATCTACTTTATGCACGAAATGCGTCTCCGAGGAGTTTAGGCTGTCCAGCGAAGCTTTTGAATGGTTGATTGGAGAAATTGAGACGCGATTCCAGCAGGCTCAGGTGTCACCCGGTGAAATGGTCGGCGCTTTGGCAGCGCAGTCTCTCGGCGAGCCCGCCACTCAGATGACACTGAACACTTTCCACTTTGCCGGTGTGTCATCGAAGAACGTAACTCTCGGTGTGCCTCGATTGAAAGAAATCATTAATATTAGTAAAAAACCGAAAGCGCCGTCGCTCACGGTGTTCCTGACGGGCGCAGCCGCGCGAGACGCTGAGAAGGCGAAGAATGTACTTTGCCGACTCGAGCACACGACGCTGAAGAAAGTGACGGCCAACACGGCGATTTATTACGATCCGGATCCGCAAAATACAGTAATCTCGGAGGATCAGGAATTCGTCAACGTGTATTACGAGATGCCTGACTTCGACCCCACGAAAATCTCGCCGTGGTTGCTGCGTATCGAGTTGGACAGAAAACGGATGACCGACAAGAAGCTGACGATGGAGCAAATCGCGGAGAAAATCAACGCCGGCTTCGGCGATGATCTAAATTGCATATTCAACGACGACAACGCCGAGAAGCTGGTGCTGCGAATTAGGATAATGAACAGCGACGACAACAAGTTCCAGGAGACGGACGAGGAAACCGTAGATAAGATGGAAGATGACATGTTTTTACGATGCATCGAAGCGAACATGCTTAGTGACATGACTTTGCAGGTACATGAGATAAATATGCTAAGTGGATTAGTCTTTCGCATCTTTGTATTAGCATTTCAGGCTCTCATTGCTTTTCATGTCCAATTATTTTTATTCTATATTCTGCTGAATTTCCCGGTTTAATATAATATTTATAACAATATTGTGTATGTAATGTAACGTCTAATATTTTTTTCAGGGTATCGAAGCTATCGGCAAGGTTTATATGCATTTACCACAAACAGACTCCAAGAAGCGCATTGTTATCACGGACACAGGCGAATTTAAGGCTATCGCGGAATGGCTTTTGGAAACAGACGGGACGAGCTTGATGAAAGTATTGAGCGAGAGAGACGTGGATCCTGTAAGGACCTTCAGTAACGATATCTGCGAAATATTCCAAGTGCTCGGCATCGAGGCTGTGCGGAAGTCCGTAGAAAAAGAAATGAATGCGGTGTTGCAGTTTTATGGTCTTTATGTAAATTATCGACATCTTGCTTTACTGTGCGATGTTATGACGGCGAAGGGCCATCTCATGGCAATTACACGTCACGGAATTAACAGACAAGATACCGGAGCCCTTATGAGGTTAGTAATGTATTTTGTTTTTTATCGAAAAATTTGAAACATATGCAGAGAAATATATTTGGCAATAAGACATGCAGAATATTAATAAGAAACTCAATTGCTGTAGGTGCTCCTTTGAAGAAACAGTCGATGTCTTATTGGATGCTGCATCTCATGCAGAGGTAGATCCAATGCGGGGAGTATCTGAAAACATTATTATGGGACAACTTCCGCGTATTGGGACAGGTAATATATAATTTCTTTAATTCAATTTTACAAAATGTTCTTCTACGAACGAATGCGCTTGCATTCTGACTTCTATTTTATTGTTTATGTAAAAATATGTCACAAATTATCTCTTAATGTACAAGATTTAATTCAAAGATAATGATTTTTTACATAATTACTTTATTAATTATTAATATAATTTTTTTTTCTTTTTAAAATGATATTATAAGAACTATATCAATACAATATATGAAGAACTATATCAATACAATATATGAAGAAATTTATTAATGTAGAATTACGTTTTCGAAAATATAATTTTGCAATAAAATTTAAGATAATGCTCTTGTCAGCAGTAACAAATGATAGTATGACAACTGATAAAATCATGATTTTACACGTGTGTTTAGGATGCTTCGATTTATTATTGGACGCGGAGAAATGCAAAGCTGGTATCGAGATTCCGATGGCGGTTGGCGCAGGTATGATGGGAACAGCAGGAATGTTCTTCGGCAGTGTAACTGGTATGTCAAGTATGAGTCCTCAGATGACTCCTTGGATGGGAGCTACTCCAGGTTACGGTGCCTCAAGCATGTCACCCGGTAAGTCTCTCATAACATTTAAAAATTTGTTCTATCGTATAAAATTTTCAATAAATTTTGTATCTGTTTGTAAAATTAAATAAGAAGATAAAAATACAAAAAATTATTCTACATAATTTTAAGCAAAATGCGCGTTGAACAGTGTTTATTAATTATTCTCTTTTATTTCACAGCTTTGAGCAGTGGCATGACTCCAGGAGGTGCGTGTTTCTCGCCGTCGGGCGCGTCGGACGCGTCGGGCTTATCGCCGGCATATTCTGCTTATTCACCGCAGCCGGGAAGCCCGGGTAGTCCGGGGCCCAGCATGAGCCCGTTCCCGATGTCACCAGCAGGCGCAGCCTCACCTAGCTACTCACCGACATCGCCTGCGTATCTGCCCACGTCTCCCAGCATGACACCGTCGAGTCCGAACTACTCGCCCACGAGTCCGACTTACTCGCCGACCAGCCCGAACTATTCGCCGACGTCGCCAAGCTACTCGCCGACAAGTCCGAGTTATTCACCGACGTCACCCAGTTACTCGCCGACAAGTCCGAGTTATTCACCGACGTCACCCAGTTACTCGCCGACCAGTCCCAGTTATTCGCCCACGTCGCCGAGTTACTCGCCGACTTCGCCGAGCTACTCGCCCACATCGCCAAGTTACTCACCGACTTCACCAAGCTATTCGCCAACCTCACCGAGTTATTCGCCGACATCACCAAGCTACTCGCCGACATCACCAAGTTACTCACCGACAAGTCCAAGTTATTCTCCTACGTCGCCGAGTTACTCACCGACCTCGCCGAGCTACTCGCCTAGTTCGCCCAACTATACACCCGCGTCGCCTTCATACTCACCTACTTCACCCAGTTACTCGCCGAGTTCACCGCAGTATTCGCCCGCGAGTCCGAGTTACTCACCTAGCAGTCCAAAATATTCGCCGACAAGTCCGAGTTACTCGCCTACCTCGCCGTCGTTCGCCGGCACGTCACCGCAATATACGCCCGCGAGTCCCACTTACTCGCCGACCAGTCCGACATATTCGCCCACAAGTCCATCCTACTCGCCGAGCTCGCCACAGCACACGGCATCAGGCAGTACACGTTACTCGCCCAGCAGTCCGAATTATTCGCCTACCAGTCCGACATATTCGCCCACGAGCCCGCAGTATTCACCGTCGAGCACCAAATATTCACCTACGAGTCCAACTTACACACCCACGAGTCCCAGCTACTCGCCGACAAGTCCAACGTACTCGCCGCCGGTGCCAGGATACTCACCCACGAGTCCTACGTACTCACCAGCGTCACCCGCTTACGAGACAGATGATTAATAATGACAATTGCTGCGAGATACGGTTAATGGTTAAGAATTTTCAAATTAGTAAAGAGCTTTTTTACAAATTCTTTTTTTCGATAAATACATATTTTGGATTTGTAATCCAAATCAAAATTATTCGGTTCAAAGTGCTCAGTTTTTTCACAAATTATTCCATGATCATCTATAAACAAATTTTTATTCTTGAACAAATGTGCAATGCGATTTTGTTGGTTATTGCAGTTTCGCAAGATTGCGGAGAGGAATTCATCACACTAGACGATCGTCGGAAACACATCGAAAATTTCAACAATGTACAAAGTGATGAAGAGCAAAAGCGGTCTCGAAGTCACATCCTTTCAGCTCAACGGTATTTTCTCATGATTTATGTTGCAGTGTGTTATACCCTCTTATGATATAGTACTGAAGCAAACAATAATTATCATGATAAGATAGTTCTCGGATTTATTATCACTTTACGCCACAATGATTCGATACTTTATCGAAAATATGAAAGATCTACAATATAAAACATTTACAAGTTGACAAATACTATAACTTTTAAAAAAGTTTTACCCTTTGGAAATAAATAGTATAACATTAAAAATAATAGCAAGATAACATATGATTAAAATATACAATATAAAATGCACGTGGCATTTTGGTTGTTGCTGTTATTCGATTTCCGTCAGTTCGCCGATTGCAAAAAAAAAATAACATATTTCCTATACTTTCACACATTTTTCGATTTAATTTAGATTGCTTTTTGAAGAAAGTTATCTATATTGAAGAAAATATATATACTATAGCATAGTAAAGAAAATATGTTACAGACAGAGGTGCATTCAGTAAGGAAGACCCACAATGTACTTTAGCAAGCAAACGTGAATCGAAACAGCAACATTCAAAATGCCACATGCATTTTACAACGTATACTTTTTTCAGACTATTATTGTCATTCTGTTGCATTCTATTTATTTTTTAAGTCACCAGTAAAATTTTGTTAAATTTACTGTAACTTAACTCGTTAACTTGCAAAATGCGCAAGTCGTGTGTATCGTAGGTCTTCTTTGCTACTGCCCTTCCATTTGGAGTAAGTAATACGTGATTCGATATCAAGTTACCTTGGCGCGATACCGCAGGAGAGAACCGGTCCGAGAATTCTTACCATGACGCCAGTAATGAATATCGGTTACTTCAGTACTTCAGCGATATCATAGTGAACGCACTGCAATATGAATCGCAAAAAAATACCGTTGCGCTGGAAGGATGCGAGTTCGGGATTGTCCTTGTTCTTCGCCACCCTGTGCATCATCGACATTTTCGGCGTGTTTCCGATAATCGCGCTACCGCGAGCGATCATCCAGTGCGGTGAGCCTTTTCTTTGCAATCTCGTAAAATTGCTCGCGCGATGATTGTAATTTTTATCAGAATAAGTTTTTTATAGACTTGAGCACACATGTATTTATCGAAGTTAGAAAAATTTGTAAAAAAGCAAGAAACTATGCTAAGGGAGGATTGATTGATTTGTACGATTGTATATTTGTGATTATATTATTATATACGTGATAAGTTAAGATCTTAATTAATTAAACGTCTTAGATAATAATGAACGATACTTGTGTTAATCAACGCTTGTATGTAATAAAAAATATCTTGGCAAATTGCTGTTTCATTAATACTTATAATATTCTATCTTCTAGTGAAGTTTGTGTTGATGAATTATATAACTCTCATGTAGAAAGAAATTTTTAAAATAATTCTAATTTTACATTGAAAAAAAATTAAAGAAAAGTATGTCATTAGGATTGTACGGAATCCCTTTGGTGCTCATTGTCTTCGGTTTGCAAATTTATACGGCCATTCTACTGGGAAAGTCATGGATCATTGCGAATGCTCTGGATCCACAGATTTCGCGGAAGAATCGGTATTCTTTTTTTTTAAAATTACAATACTTAACATATATATAACAGATGTTTACATATTTAAGTACATCTTCCAGACATTTTTTTCTACATCTAGATGCTGATAGATTGTTGAACAAAAATATTTAAGAATAGATTTCGTATTTCGACATGATTAAAATTACAGCTATCCTCTCGCCGCTGTGACGGAATTAACAATGGGACCACGCGTACGATCTATCGTTACTTTACTTTTGGATTTGACAGTTTTTGGTTGTGGTGTTCCAAATTTGCTAGTCGGTGAGTAAAAGATGTGTTCTATCATAATAAAACAAAGGACAGAAATTTTTATCCTGAAACTTCATTCTAAAATTGGTTCTCTTTGGATTATACTACAGTATCTGGCAGTGTACATTTATATATTAAATCTGTGCATAATAATCATTGTGCGCTAAATTTAATGCAAATATGATTCTCTAGCTTCACAAAACTTGCATTTGTTTGGATTCAAAATATCGGATCAGCATTTCAATCTCTCCTTTTGTTACTGGTTGCTAATTGTTGGCGTTTTACTTTGCCCGTTAATGTGGCTGGGCAGTCCGCGAGATATGAAGTAAGATATTTCCTGTTAAACACATATTTTTTCTACTTGAATGTAGCAAAATAATTAACAATTTATTAAATTACTGCAGATGGGTGGCGACGTGCTCTAGCGTAGCGGTAACTTTAACGGCGATATTAGTATGGTGGAGTATCATAACTGACGATCGAACATTCAACGTTGCGCCAATAACCACTTCACCGACTTGGGACAAATTTATTTCCGGGTATGTGCAGTTTTCAAAATATAATTATTAAAGTAATTAGTTAAATGTCGAATGTTTCATCTTTTTGTATCAAACTGAAAGCTCGATCAAGCTCCATCAAGCAACAATTAAGTAACGAATTTGAACGAATTTTCAGATATGCCATACTGGCTTTTCAGTTTGATGTGCATCCAACTCTAATGACGATACAAGTTGATATGCGTCGCCCTCAAGAGATCGACAAAGCTATCTTTTTTTCTTTCATAGGTAACAAACAGCAAATTATTTGTACATATCTCATTTCTTCTGTCTTAATCTTTTGTTTCTTCTCTCTTTGTTTAAACTTTCGTTTCTTAAACTGTGATTGATATCAAATAATCTTCACAATTAACAATTTATTACGTAATTTCTCGATATTGAAACAATTTTATGTCCAAATTTTGCAACAACTTACATATCCATATTAATTTTATATTTGTTTTCAAATCACAGCAAGCGGATCCTTGTTTGTCGTTACGGTTTGCCTAGCTGTATGGAAATACGGCGATAATACGACCGCCAATCTCCTCGAAGCTATTCCCTCTGGATCGATTGCAAACATTGCCATTCTGTTAGCTGCTCTTCAGTTATGCTTTTCCAGCGTGATCGGTTACTCGGCGCTCTTCCAGCATCTGGAGGATCAATGGAGCGTGCAAAGAAGTATAATTTGCAATTTATTTATTGAAATATTAAGTACTCAAATTATTTTAAATGTTTTGTTAAATCAGCCTTTGGATGGAAACGATGCGCTATGAGATCGGCGGTGGTTTTACTCAGCGTAGTTGTGGGTGAATCAGTGTCACGCTTCGACATCGTCATGGCCTTGATTGGTGGATCGTTAACCGGATCGCTGGTGTTCATGTTACCTCCCTTGATATACAGTCGAATGTTAACATTAAAAAAATCGATTCAAGCAGCGACCCTCGAAGGAGTTTCTCCAGGTTCTCGCAAAAGATTCAGTGGTGAACAGGAATACTTGCTAGATCCCAAAGCTCATTCACGTTCGATCTACTATGGTTTCCTGAATGACACAAATAATCCCCGCAGGTGCTGAAATTTATTCAACTTTATGTCCGAAAAACAGATGTTTAAATCTCAAAAATTTTAATAGCGTTTAATTTTCTGGGTATACTTTTAGTTTACTTTGTATGTAAATTAAAGAAATATTTATTTTGCCAAAATATCTCAAATTTATCTGATTTGTATTTTAATGTTTTAATACTGGATGTTTAACAGTTATACATATCTCTACTTCGATGACTTGGATGATGAAACAAATTCACAATCAAGCGAATTCGTCGATTGCTGTGAAAATGAACAAGACAAAGAGAAAATCAATCAAACACCAACTACTAGTACTCATCAGGAGGATCAATTGTACCTAGTCGATGCAGCTGAACCAACCAGAACTCGAACTAGGAAGTCTACAGGTGGACTGCAAGAAGAGACTGACGAGACGGCAAGACAAAGAAAGAAATGGAGTCTCGAGAGGATGATTAATTACTTCGGTTATTTTATCGTGACAATCGGTATAGCGATCACACTGTCCTCGACGTACGTCAACATTTGGAATACTATACGTTATGTACGTTTTACACCGCCATGCATTGTCAATACTACTGCGAACTGAATATAATTTAACTTTATTAATTACAATTAAGTTTACACATTTTTAAAGATTTATCGAAGACGATTAAATGGTTGTGTAAAAGAAGTGTCGATACTTGCTAGAAAAAAATATTTTTCTTTTAACAATTTGTTTTTTTTTTTGATCATGTAATGAAGAAGATAATAAATAATTAATAAAGAACTTGCATAATAAAAATTAATGAAAAGAACCCTCTTTATTTTCTGAAAAACATTTTTATAAGAGAAACTACCTAACGACTGAATATAGTTATTAAATCGAAATTCTCCATTGGGATCTAATTTAATTCATTAGCATTGATAAAATTTGTTTTTAAAAAATTTGAACTTTTCTGCTGCAAAGCGATATTGGAATCATTAAATATCCTGCGCTGAAAGAATAATGTAAAAGAATATAGCAAGAATAAAGTAAAGATAATAACAAATTGTGACATTTACTTTTGATAATCATTTTTTGACGTCAATTATGCATTGATTGTGCATCAAGCAACACAGTGATAACAATGAAAATTGAATACGTTCATCAGGATAGTTGATCACTGAGGTCGTGAATGCACTAGTGAGTTTTCACTATGTTGCGCAATACCCTAGATCCCTAGATCACAATTGATACCCTAGATAGTGTTTCAGGGCTTAAAATGTTCTTTGTTAAAATTTCTAGAAAGTACATTTTTCTATTGGATAACACGGACCGTCGTACATTGAAAATCGGTTCTAGATGTCGCTTATGCGCAGCTTAATTTTTTCGTTTGTTTTACGTTCTATTATTTATATAATCAATGCGCCAGATGAATTCATTGCAATCGTGGTTTGGTTATTAGTTCGTTTCCGTTTGTTTCGTGGATGGTTTGATCGTCCCGAGGTTGTTTATGTAAACAAGACGTTAAATCGCAACTTAAATACAATTCTTTGATGTCTCGTGGCCGATAAGAGACGGGATTGATACTTTTTTACAAATTGTGACAACATATATATCCGATAAGAAAGATATATTGCATTATAGTTAGTTTACAAAAATACTGTACTTAGTGGAAGTACTTATACGTGTTTTACTGAAAAGCTGAATTGATCGTTTAATCTAAATAAGAAAAAGATGGGAGATTCCGAAGAGGAGAATGAAAAAGATTTAGCCTCTGGTCTCAATATCACTGGCTTTCTGTTTGGTAACATCGATGATAATGGTCAGTTGGAGGATGATGTCTTGGATCCTGAAGCAAAACAGCATCTAGCTTCACTTGGTCGCCTTGGTCTGAGCTCATTCATCAATGAGATGATGTCGAATGACTGTATCAATGAGGAGAAAGAAAATAATAAATCAGATAAGCTAGAGGATCAGAATGCAACTGCAAACGATACAGATGTGGATTACTTTGTGAAATCACCTACTGCACTAGATTTTTCTGATATAAATGAATTGGCAGATGATACAAATGATGAAACTTGTTAGTATTTTTAATGTATTTTATACAGTTATAATGTATAATAAGTATTTATTTATATTTATAATTTTATTACATATTTTAATACAATATTATTAATTATTGATACAATTTGTATCAATTAGTTCTTAATTTGCAAATGTGAGTAACATAAAGAGTTATAGATTTTGAGTAATTAAATAATATAATCTGTTTTTAGCCAAAAATGCACTTGATAAAAAAGCAGATAAGGAGAATGTAGATTATGATGCCGACGATGAGGAGGTTGTTAATAAATCAGATACACAACTAATGCCACCTCCACCAATACCTGAAGAGAAAGAAATTTTAACAGCAGAAGAGGCAGAAGCAGTTCGTCAACGTAAATTAGAAACACCTCTTGCTTCTATGTTGCCATCAAAGTACGCCAATATTGATGTCACTGAATTGTTTCCGGATTTTCGTACCAACAAGGTTCTCAGATTCTCAAGATTATTTGGTCCTGGCAAGCCAAGCAGTTTACCTCAAATATGGAGGAGTGTGAGAAAACGACGTAAGAAGAGAAAACATGATATCAAGGATTCTGATTCTGGCTCTGATCAGGATGACAAAAAACCTAAATTTAAGGTACAGTAAATTCTCTTAGGAAAAACTTCTTAAACTGATGAAATTAGTGATTGTGATTTTTAATTATAAAGTTAAATATTAGTTCCTGCATAATTAATTTTCCATCTTTGCAGGGCTGGATTATGCAGTATGGTTCTGAGCCGAGTGCGGAACAATGTCGTTCAGACGATGAAAACAAGCTGCTGCTACCAGTAGAAGACAAAGAGCAAGCTGGTAAAGGGGGTGAGGCTGGAGAGAATGGTGATATGGGACCCAAAGTAGCTGATTGGAGGTTTGGTCCCGCGCAGCTATGGTATGATATGCTGGAAGTTCCTGAAACTGGAGATGGATTCAATTACGGTTTCAAGCTGCCTGAGAAAGTATGTAACTGTTTTTGCATTTAACTAAAGTCAACTAATTATAACAAAACGTGTTTTATAAATTTGGATATTTTCTTGTTCTGTGATATTTAATTAGGTGGAGGAGCAAGAAAAAGACAAAGACAAAGTGAAAAGGCAAATGATCACAGAAAACGAGAAATATGAAGAATTTGCTGATGACGCATTTTTGATGGTATCTCAATTGCATTGGGAGGACGACGTCGTCTGGAATGGAGACGACATAAAGCATAAGGTGGTAATTTTGCGAGCAATTAGTCTTGTCATCCCATATTTATGTATAAGCCATGTATAAAACAGAAGTAATGTCTGCTTCTTGCAGGTGTTGCAGAAGTTGAACAGTAAGAATAACGCGGCCGGTTGGGTTCCGTCGAGCGGCAACAGAACCGCGCAAGCTTTCAGTCAGCCGGGCAAAGGTGCCTCGGTTACTGTAGCACCCAACGTTAGACTGGCCACTTCACAAATTACAACGCCATTGCACATGCAATCTCAGAAAAGTAAAATAAACATGGGCAAGGGAAATCAGCAGCAGCAGCGGGAGGAGAATTACGACGACACGTGGTACTCGATATTTCCGGTGGAAAACGAGGAACTAGTTTACGGTTTGTGGGAAGAAGAGGTCATCTGGGATCCGGAGAATATGAAGAAGATTCCGAAACCGAAGATACTCACGTTGGATCCCAACGATGAGAACATTGTTCTGGGCATACCGGACGACATTGATCCCGCCCTTCTTCACAAGGACAATGGTCCGCAACCTAAAGTGAAGATTCCACACCCACACGTGAAAAAGAGTAAGTTACTGTTGGGCAAGGCCGGCGTCATTAATGTCCTCGAAGAGGACACGCCGCCGCCGCCGCCCAAGTCGCCCGACAGAGATCCGTTCAACATATCAAACGACACGTATTACATGCCTAAATCGTCGGAAACAACGTTACGACTGAAAGTCGGCGGCGGTAATTTAATACAGCATAGTACACCGGTAGTAGAGTTGCGCGCACCTTTTGTACAAACGCACATGGGTCCAATGCGACTGAGAAACTTTCACAGACCGCCGGTGCGCAGGTTCAGTCACGGTCCACTGGCTCATCCAGGACCGCATAGTGTCTTGCCTCTGTTAAAGCACATTAAAAAGAAAGCTAAGCAACGAGAGCAGGAAAGAATCGCTTCCGGTGGCGGCGACGTATTCTTTATGAGAACAGCCGATGACTTGACGGGACGAGATGGCGAACTGGTTCTCATCGAATTCTCCGAAGAACATCCTCCACTCATGAATCAAGTCGGCATGTGCTCCAAGGTGAAGAATTATTACAAGAGGAGAGCCGGCAAAGATCAGGGCCCGCAGTCGTATAAATACGGAGAGACAGCGTACGCTCACACCAGCCCGTTCCTGGGCATTCTTACTCCCGGTCAGAGTATTCAAGCGATCGAGAACAATCTGTACAGAGCTCCCATTTATGAACACAGGATTCCCGAGACGGATTTCTTAGTAATAAGAACGAGGTATTAACGTATTATGTTTAAATCTTTTAATTTTTCTCTTTAATCAAAAGTTTTTTTACGCTTATCACTTTTACATTTCAACTTATTTTTATTTTCACTCAATCGTATATTTCTTTGGCTCGTATATTCTCGTATTTATACACGATCAGAATTATACTGATTTTATGATTTTTGCAGACAACAATATTTCGTTAGAGAGATGGACGCATTGTTCGCTGCCGGACAAGAATGCCCGCTCTACGAAGTGCCAGGACCGAATTCGAAAAGAGCCAACAATTTCGTACGCGATTTCCTACAAGTATTTATATATCGATTATTTTGGAAATCGCGCGACACGCCTCGGCGGATTAAGATGGATGATATAAAGAAAGCCTTTCCATCACACAGCGAAAGCAGCATTCGAAAAAGGCTAAAGTTATGCGCGGATTTCAAAAGAACCGGTACGTAACAGATTTGTTTATTAATTTGTTTTTTCACAAGGAATATTACATTATATCAAATATTTTATAACAGTTTAGAGCGTTTGTCTCATTTCATATTTGTATTTTGTTTATCATGGATTACGCCGAAATTGTCAATATAGGAATTTTCTGTACGAAATAGGTATGGACTCCAATTGGTGGGTGATAAAACCGGATTTTAGATTGCCGACGGAAGAAGAGATCCGTGCTATGGTATCGCCGGAGCAGTGTTGCGCTTATTTCAGCATGATCGCGGCCGAACAGCGTCTGAAAGATGCCGGATACGGCGAGAAATTCTTATTCACTCCGCAAGACGACGATGACGAGGATATGCAGCTAAAGATGGACGACGAGGTGAAGGTGGCACCATGGAACACCACGCGTGCCTATATCCAGGCTATGAAAGGGAAATGTCTGTTGCAATTGGCCGGTCCAGCCGATCCAACCGGTTGTGGCGAGGGCTTTTCCTACGTCAGAGTGCCGAATAAGCCCACTATTAGCAAGGTTTGTTCACAAATAGCTTACGAAATCTACAGGATAATTGTATATTCTTCAGTCACTGATCAACATAACAGCTTTACTTACAACTTCCAGTTATTTTTAAGAAAATTAACTAAATTCTAAATTATTATAAAATTATATTTTAAATAGGAGGAGCAAGAGGCTCAACCAAAAAGAACCGTGACCGGCACAGACGCGGATCTCCGGAGATTGTCTTTAAACAATGCGAAAGCGTTGCTGCGAAAATTCGGCGTACCTGAGGACGAGATCAAGAAACTGTCACGTTGGGAGGTTATCGACGTGGTGCGAACTCTATCTACAGAAAAGGCGAAGGCTGGTGAAGAGGGCATGACGAAGTTCTCGCGAGGCAATCGCTTCTCTATAGCCGAGCACCAGGAACGTTACAAGGAAGAGTGCCAGCGTATCTTCGACCTGCAGAATCGCGTGCTCTCGTCGAACGAAGTGCTCAGTACAGACGAGGGAGAAAGCTCGGAGGAGGACAGCTCGGACATTGAGGAAATGGGTAAGAACATTGAGAACATGTTGTCGAACAAAAAGACCAGCACGCAGCTGTCATTGGAGCGGGAGGAGCAGCAGCGGCACGAACTGCGAAAGATGCTGATGGGCGAGGCGCAGGAGCAAGAAAACAAGAAAGGCAAGGAAAGCAAGAAGAAAGACGAGGAGGAGGACAGTCCGGTGAACAACTTTAACGCGCAGCAGGGTCGTGTCTTAAAGATCTTCCGCACCTTCCGTAATCCGGAGGGCAAAGAGTATACGCGTGTCGAGCTGGTGAGGAAGCCCGCCGTGATCGACACGTACCTTAAGATCCGTAATTCGAAGGACGAGACGTTCATCAAACAGTTCGCCACGCTTGACGAGGCGCAGAAGGAGGAGATGAAGCGGGAGAAGCGCAGGATTCAGGAGCAGCTGCGGCGGATCAAGAGGAACCAGGAGAGGGAGCGCATGATGGGCGGACCAATCGTGAATGGCAACGCCATCAACAACTCCAGCAACAATAGCTCGTTCGACCGCAGCAACACTAATATTCCCACCACTGTTTCCTCAAGCAGTATCCTTCCATTTTGTAATATTCAATCCACGTCCGCTTCCACATCTAAACATACCAAACCAGATCCGTCACCTCCTAAACGTAAAAAACCAAAACTCAAACCAGATCTAAAAGTCAAGTGCGGTGCTTGCGGCAACGTCGGTCACATGCGCACCAACAAGGCTTGCCCGCTCTACCAGAACAGCGTCACCACCGCTGCTACCACCACTACGACCATCACCACCACGACTGCTACCACCCCGCCGCCCATCACCGTCGCGATGACCGAGGAACAGGAGGAAGAGATCGAGAAGCAACTGAACACGGACGATCAGGATTTGGTGAACATCGATGGCACTAAGATGAAGCTATCGTCGAAACTAATCAAGGTGAGGGCGTAATTTAATTTATTTATATTTGTATCTATCTTCTTGATAAGAATAATCTGAGAAATTAGAAATATGTAAAAGACATTTTGAAGATAACAAATGTCTGGCGTATTTCAGCACGCGGAGGAAATGAAGAAACGTACACTGTTGCTGAAAGTGCCGAAAGAGGCGGTGAACACGAAGAAACGCAAGAAACCACCTCCAGAGGATCACTGCGATTATTTGAAACGTCATCAAAAGGCTATAAACAGGCGTAGGACTGATCCGGTTATTGTAATGTCGACGATATTGGAAAGTATTCTAAATGAAATGAGAGACCTGCCCGATGTACAGTTATTCTGTTTCCCGGTTAACGCCAAAGTAAGTGATATTTTAACTTAGCATTATGTTACTTTGACTGTTTGAGCATGAATAACAAGGAAACTTCTCTTACAAGAATATTTTTTAAAAATCAATCTAAAATTTATATTATTTTTTATCAGGTGGTTCCCGATTATTATAAGATCGTACAACGACCAATGGACCTACAGACCATACGAGATAATTTGAGGCAGAAAAAATATCAGAGCAGAGAAGAGTTTCTAGCGGATGTTAATCAAATCGTGGAAAACTCCACGCTTTATAATGGAGCGAAGAGTCCGTTAACTATGGCTGCTAAAAGAATGTTAGATACGTGCGTCGAAAGGCTTGGCGAGAAGGAAGATCTATTGATGAGACTGGAAAAGGCCATCAATCCTCTTTTGGACGACAATGACCAAGTTGCCCTTACCTTCATTTTAGATAATGTTATTAACAATAAGCTAAAATCTATGACGGAAGTATGGCCGTTTATGAAACCCGTCAATAAAAAGATAGTTAAGGATTATTACACTTATATCACGCAACCGATGGATCTCGAAACGATATCGAAAAAAGTTTCTGGTAAGAAATTAAAATTTTTTTATTAAATTAAATATGTAAAAAATTTATAATTTTTTTTCTTAAAATTAATTACTATTTTTGAAACTTTTTAGCTCATAAATATCACAGTCGCCACGAGTTTCTTAGAGACATTGAACAGATTTTGAAAAACTGCATACAATATAATGGCAAAGATTCTTCCTTCACACATAAAGCAGAAGTGTTGGTAAAAGTGTGCAAAGAAACATTAGACGAGGTACATTTTTATATAATTAATTTTATAAAAAAATTTATGAGAAATTACTAAATTAAGAAGTTGCAAACACTGATAAATTTATTTTATTTCAGTATGATGAACACTTAACACAACTAGAGAATAATATACTACTCGTGCAAAAGCGAGCGATGGAGCAAGCGGACATGGATTCCTCATGGCTTGGCCCAGACGAAGAAAACTATACTATGACGGAATTCAGAGTAAAGATCATATATCTATCTTTATATGTATATGCATATATATGCACATATTTTATGTGTTATATACTCGCATTTTGTTTTATTGCTCAATATTTGCTTCTGTTGTTTTAATATTGAATATACTTTCAATTTCTTTTGAATAAAATTCAATAAAATTTTTTCAACAAAACATTTAAATATACAACATAAATGTATATATTTAATTTAATATTACGTGTTATTTTCAGAGCCAGACCAGTTCTCCAGAGAATCCGTTTGGCAAGTCAAATATGGACGACTTCGACTTCGTCGACGTAGAAGGCGATATGGAAGCAGAAGTTGATAGAACCTCGAAAAAGAAAGATGTACTCGAAGAAGGTAAAATAGTATAACCCTAACTTAATTTTATATCCATCTGCAGCTTGCTTAACATTTTTTTTCTATTATAGATCTTCAATTCTCCAGTGAAGATGAGTTTGATGAAGTGCCATTCGGTACAGATGAACAATCTGAACAAAATGAAATGGAGACGTTGGAGTTAAGCGAAGTAAGGGAAGGTGTCGTGTTGGCGGACGATGACAGCCAACAAGCTGCCGAGGCAATGGTTCAATTAGGTAACGTCGGTTTTTATATGGGTGAACAGCAATTACTTCAACAAGGTAAGTAAAAAAACAATACGTAGAATTTGAAACAATCGAGAACCGATTTTCCTATATTTTTTTTCAAATTTAATCCGATAATTCGTCATTTTACATAAGTATTTTTAATTACATTTCTAAAGCAATTTGAGAAATAAAACAAATAATTCTTTCAAAAATAAAACAAACTGCAAATTTTTAGATTGCTTCAAATCGTATTGGATCCCTGCATCGATGCAATTGTACTAATTTTTTTGTTAAACTCCATAGATCAACCGTCTATTTTTTGTTCACAGATGAGAGTATGGATGTCGATCCAAATTACGATCCATCGGATTTCTTATTGGCTGGTTTGCCAGCCAGAGAAGGTGAGAATAAGATCCAGGACGATCTGGCTGTTTCCGAGAGCGATGACGACACAGAAAACACAGCATCCAAGCAAGAAGCGCAGCAAAATCAACAGCAGCAACAATTGTCACAACCTGACGAAGAAGTCGGTGGAGATTTGTGGTTCTAAGTGTGTTCTTATTTTGATAAACGAGGGAAGTGATGAACATTGCACTCTTAGTATTATTAAATACAAAGTTCTCTCGCCATTTTAACAGTCTACCTTGTGAAATCGAAGAGGAATTAATGGTATTTTCTTTTTATGTATTATGTGCATATATGTATAGAAATTTGTAAATATAGAATAAACATTGTTTTTTTTCTAGTTTAGCGTTGACAACTTTGAGCGATTAGACAGTGCAATATTTCCATAATAGCATACTGCATGGAAATTATTAAACTTAACATTATTAGATTAATTACTAAAATATTACTAAGTTAAAGTGATAGTTTATTGTTTCTAAAAGTATATTTGGTAAAAACGTGAATTTTTTAATGCAGTGAAAGCTGCAACTTCATGTTTTTACTATAAAAATCTTCTGTAAAAAAATTGAAAGTTGGATTTTAACCTATGTAAATGCATCTTTATAATATTTTAATTTGTTTGTTATAACTCATCTTTATCGTTTTTCTAGATACGTATCTCCTGCTTATATTATTATTCTCGAAATATGTACATTTTTAATACTGAATTTGATTTTCTAGGAGCTCCGGTTTCTATCATATTTGATCTTAAATTTTAGCAACTTTTTATCGATTTGATAAATCGTCAATGATCACCGATGAAGAGCTTACACGAAGAATGAGCGACATCTCCGACAGTGTTTCGCGCAATCTTTCACACTTCTCAGCAGAGCAGGATAAAACTCTGGATAAGATTGCGAAGATCGTCAGAGACGCTACGAGAAAGCAATTACAATCTTGCGATCCTCGCGTGCTCGTTACATGCATACTGAGAATCCTATTGCAATACGAGGACTTGCTGCACATGGCTGGACTGTGCGAATGGAAGCGTCGGCGAAAATTCAAGACTGCTCAACATTGCTATTATGTCTTGTTGAAGAATTATCTGCCGGAGAGATCGCGGGAAGTCGTGCAGACGATCGTGACAGCCATCCATGAGGATCGACTCTGGAAATTTGAGACTTTCTGCTTCGGAGTGGTGTGCAGTCTACTGGATATCGGCTTAGTCAACGGCGGATTGATCACTCATGCAGTCTGGGACGTGTTAACGTCGCCAAATATTGGCGTCGAGGAGGCTCGCGGCATCGCGAGGATACTGTGCGAATTTTTGAACATGTACGATTGGCCAGCGACGCTGGACACAGTGGCAGCGGTAGAGAGGATGCTCAAACTCTTTCACGCCAGTATAATCGCACGATCGACGACCACAGATTCCTTGACGCCGCTCGTGAGCCTCAAGAAAAGCTTGGAGGTTTGTCTGAGAAACACCTTGAAGCATCTGTCGAACGAACAAATGTTGGTGATTGTGCAGCACATGTGTTCGTGGACGGTAGCCGCGGGCGCGACTGACGAGATCATCCTGGAATTTGGCAGTACTTTGGAGTACGCCGCTTACACACATCAAACGGGCCTCTACGAGCAGACTCTTACGCCGATAATCTTCCCGTTATTAATGCAAATGGTGGGATCGTCCAATCGATTGACAAATCTACTAGGTAACCGGGTGCTACAGTATCTACTAGATCGCAAAGACAATCGTGCGATCTTCGACATGCCTAGAATCTTCTTCGAGCACACTCGTTTCAATCTGCATATTGTATCGTGTCGCAAGGAGGACGTACTGTTCTTCAAGTTGCACCGTGAATTATTACACGACAGCTTATTGAAGAGCCTAGTGAATCATTCGAATTCACGAATGAATTTGGAAATGACATATTGTACAATCTGCCTGATCGCCGTTGAAGTTCCGTGCGGCTTTATGGCCGCCGCTCTGGTCTGCCTCGCCATGAATCTGCAGGAGATTATTCTGCAGCGGTACGACAGTCATTTGGAAGTGGCCTGCCATGTGCACGCAATGATTATCTCCATTATGTCTTTGCTTTGTTGGATACACAAGGCCAAAGTGTTTTATAACTATGTAAACAGAATTATGATGGAAAGAGCTCAGTGGGCGCCGCATCTGAACCCTCCAATTCAATCCCAGTATAACTTCGCGGTGCATCATATTCTTTGGAACAAACCGGAACTGTTCTTCGTCGACTGGGAAGCGCGTTACGGCCTCTGGAAATGCTTCCGTCTCTCCAAACAAGACGCTACCTCATTAATCACCTGATGCAATTTATATCTAATGATTCATAAATTCAGATGTCTACAGCTTCAAGGATTCGTGGAATTAAGGATTTATTAATAGAAGAATTTATAGAATCAAGAATTTATATCTTTATATATATTGTATTTTGCATAAAAATCTGAAATGCATGTGGGTCAATAAATTCAAAGAGTTAATGATCATGCAAGAAAGTCAGAGTTCAAGAGTTTCAAATCAAGAAATATTAAATCAACATTATATTAATAGATTATAATAGCAGACTCTAATAATAGACTCTAATTATATTTTAATTTATAATGCTTAGAGGAAAAGATGCATTTATGTAGATATGCAAATCTAGTAAGTTTATAATATTATATGTATGTCATAGATTTTTTGCAAATTTTACTTTTATTTTTATTTATTTTGTTTAAGTTTAGACTTTTTCTAAAACGTTTGGACAAAGAAAGGACCAAACATATTTTACAAGATTTACAAGAATTTGCATCACTATATTTGACATACATATGTATATTACTGTGTATCCTACTTTACCGAATTGATAGCGATTGATAGCGTATTAAAAGCTGCGGCGCCATTGCGCGAGATCGCGCGCGCGCCGCCGCCATCTCGGGGCGCGCCAGAGATCGCATGATTTATGGCGCACTGGTTTTGTAATTCGCAAATAACAAAGTGACTCAGACTTGTCGCCCGCAACAAATCCACCGTTGACTTCGCACTTCACAGTTCCTGTGAGACTTTGTGAAAAATGCAAATGAAGCGGTAAACGAACGAACGATAAATGTTAACGAGATGATCGCTTAGATTATTCGCAAATCTCGCTTTATCTCTGTAATATACACGATTCGGAGTATCCTGGAGTTGTTCGAGAGTATTCTCATCGTCGTCGCAGCACAACAGAGCGGTCATCAAAAGGTTAATTTCTTTGGTCTGCGTTTACACAAATTTCAAGAAGCTTCAGGTGCAGAATTGTCGAAGGTAAGAAAAACATGCTTTACTTTATAACATAGCGATGTCCTTTGTTAAACGACTGATATTCACAAAGAATGACACATAATACATAATAATACATACGTAACAATACACAATTTAGCGTGTGTTTACTTTATTAGCAATCGACAGTAGTAATAGTGCAAATAACTCGAGATGTTTTTGAGATAGAAATGCAAACTAAAAATAGTAACA